GACCGGAGGCAAGCTGCGCACAGAAGTCTGTTGTGCCTCGGAATCGCCCTCGCGTAAGTGATCGCGCTATTTAATATCGGAAACTTCCAAATCCTTGTTCCAATTTGTTCGGTATTAAATATTTACGCCTCTCGAGCAGCCCGCAGCTCATAGAACGATCTCGCGTAGCAATTCAACGTGTCAAAAATGTTACAAGCTCGGTCGCCTTTAGTAATAAATGAACCGACGTGCACTGAATGAAAATTTTGGAACGAGTTCAGACTTCAAAGTGTTTCTCAGGTAAGTAAATGTCTCATCCAAAGCATTCTTCTCCTTAGTAATGATTTCAGTGAATCATAGGCGAGGCCACGTACCTTTGAACGTAACTTTGTACGCAACTTTTCGATGACTTGCATACGCTATGAATACACGATGATCCACAATCTAGTAGATAAACAGCACTCCACTACAATAAACATGGAAGTATATAATGTGCAGTGTGTTTATTTTCGGAAACGAAAATACAACGTGGCGACAAGAATGCGACTAACGAAGGCTGCATCGACGTTTTTGGTTCCAGTGCGAAAGCAATAAGTCACCGTGTCGCGGAACCTAACGCCATTTGCAACGTTACTTTAGGGTGCATCTCGGCCGACTCAAACGCGATCGCAGGGAACAGCACGTTGCCCGCGGTCGCTCGAAACGCGTAAATATTTTGTTTACCGAGAGCGGCGTGCCCGATTAAAAGCGTATTGCGTGAAGTCGAGTGCCGCGCGTCGAACATCCTAATCTCGTTTGGCCGGCGATTACTTTTATCGCGACGAAACAGCCGAGAGAGCCAGCCAGCGAAATGGTTCTTCGGTGCTAGCTGATTTTTCGAGCGTTGCGCAACCAGATTTTCCGGGCCCGGATCTCCTATAATTCATTTCGACGCCATCAACGCGAAAACACGAAAATAAATAACCGAACGCTGCACGTCGTCATAAATTTACCCGCTCCCGGCGAGTTTTTAAGGCCGACCTGGGCCTTTGAGCAGAATTACTCCACCGCTGGGAATTCTTGTCGAAATGTGTCACAGTCTTTTTGGAAACTTTTCCCGTTGAGGTCAACGAAAAAGAACAGCTTCCCTTGTCCGTTGCTCTCGGAGAGGCGTGCACTGTTGATCATGGTGTTTGTTTCACGATATCGTCGCTTCTTTTCGATACTGAGCATCTCGTGTATCAATACGGACTGGTTTGCCGTAATTGTAGCAAATGATTCAATTAGCAGCTCGGAATCTATGATTTACCGTGATTAACTTACTGGCTAATAACGTGCGGAAGACTCGCCTGACATTTCTCTCTAGACTTTCCGGAAATAGTCCTACATTCTATACTAACAGCATCATTATCTGCTTCAATTGCACCTCGACGCACAGTCGTTATAAAAATTACTACTGTCAACGACAGGAGAACACTTGGTACTGGCATAATTCGCGCTTCATATATCGCGCGTCATCCGATAACTATAAAATCATTCTGCAATTTTACCGTTGCCAAGAACCGTCGTTAAATTCTGTCAATAACGGTACGGACGCCTAAAAAAGTTCGCCGATAATGTTAAACGGCTTTCTCGATGTTTCGAGGGGGCTCGACCGTTTCCCACGAATAAATTGGACCAGGAACCGGAAGTCCCGTCCCGTGGCAACATGAATCGGCGTTATCGTTGTCCGTATTCGGCGTCGTTTAGTCTCAGGACGCGTCCGATGTTTTCCACGCGCGTGCGTCAGTCTGGAGCCGAGACCCGGCGCGGCCGAAGAGAGTGTGATTATTGTAACTTCGATGAGATAAGGGCATCGTGCCACGAACGTGTCTGCTCGTGATAGTGGTCCGTTTGTGCCGAGCGTAATTTATTAGCCGGCCCGGCCGAGATATGTCCGCCGCCGCGCCGGTCATCGCGGACCGAACGTTCCAATGGTTTTCGCGGTTTCATGAAACCGGGGAGAAGCGTACAATATTTTTCTCCTCTCTCTCCATCTATCTACTATCTATTTATCTATTTATCTATCTATCAGTTTGTTTTCCTCTCTCGCCTCTGTGACCTAAATCCTTCGCGCGAGAAAAATTAATGCGAAGAATGGAGCTTGTTCGTAACTTCCGATAAACGGTTGCAAAAGAACGGCAGGAATGTGGACAATGACATCTTTGTGTCTTTCCCATGGCCCTCTCTCGGAATATCGAGAAGAATTTATGAAATTTCGTAACTTTATGCTGAAAGCTTAAAGATTTTTACGGCCACGATGGAACGGCGTTCACGGATTGGCCGTGGAAAATGTGTTAACTTAAAGGAATGGACGTGGGTAATTTTTCTTTCATTTTCGAATGCAATGGTGTTGAACGCGACAATGTTCCTTTGGTTTGAGCAACGTAGTGAGATAGAGTATTCGGGAGTATTGCGAGGATGCAGTGAAATGAGATCCTGAATGATTTGAAAGCTATCTTTATCTCGGAAAGAGGGTTCAAGCTACAAAAAGGATTAATAAGGTTGCGAAATTTGATTAAATGTCGAGAATCTATATATTCTAACGAACTCCAACGACAAATGTATTTGTCCTGCGTTAATAACAAGATGTATAAGAATATTTTCTATAGAACACGAAAAATCAATGGGAACTGTTTAAATTAATCATTAGATCACTCGAATCCAGGGATCACACGTCTAACCGCTTTGAATATTTAAATACGAATCTAACGAGAAGGAAACGCGTGCATAAAGGTTCTGCCGAAAGAAACGATGCTCGTAAAGTCCGACGTGTCGACGGCAAGTCCAGAACTGGTAACGCTGTTTAAACATCATTCGAGTTGACGACGAATTTAATCCGAAGGGAATTCGGTGGGGAAAAAAGGAGCTGAAAGGAATACCGGGGGTTTCGTATCCACCTCCTTTCGTCGGCGTAGCCGCGGTTAATGCATCGGTTCAATTAGCGGCCAACGCGGTGACACGGAACAATCAATTACGTTTGTTTACAAGGTGTACCCGTTAACGGCGCGGCCATTCAGCAGTCGTTTAAAACGGAATTAACATTCCGCGAAGATGAACGCCGTTTTCGCTGATCGTACATTGTTCGGGCATTCGGAACGCTTGTGCGATGGAAAACGTGTGTCACCGTTCAGACCATAGAACAACGTTCCTGCGGTTCACTTTACAAGAGGCGCAAACGCGGGTGAACTGGAAAAGTAGCCAAGACTTGAATTCCTCGCTCGAAAATGATTTTACAGCAGCTCTGCAGCATCCTGGAGTAAACGATTACACTACACGACCAATTTCCCCAAAAGTACCTTTCCCATTTGACTCTAATTTTTTAAACGAACGATTCTATACTTTTCACATAGTAGAATTAATACATATAGTTAGAACATGCTTCAGTTACCAGACCTACCAAATGCCTCTAAACTTCTATACTTTAATATCCACTAGTAGAATCGTAACTTGTTCGATTATGCAACTTTCGAAAGCAGCAATTAGAGTACTATACGCATAACACCAAAAGAGACAAATACGCATCGATCTCCACTATTTTAAACCAACAAAATCCCTCATCCGAATACTCCAATTAACAAATTAACGAAATCTGCTCCGAAAATCGTCAACCTCTAAAGGCAAATATCTAAAAAAAATTCGATTTCGGGGTAGCCTATGGGATTAATCGTTGTCATCGAGTTGTCAAGTCAGCCTAGACACTTCCCATTCCTCGGAACTCAATCTTCAAGCTAGGCCTTCCCATGTCCCGATTCATTATTCCGCTGACACCCGAAATCGGTGACCTTCGCCGCGGGTCCGTCAGAGTGCCCGTCCGCAGCATCCCGATACCGGCGTTTTTTTTCTGTCGGCCATCGATCTACAACGTCGCGGATCAAGAAACTCGTTTCGCCCGTGTCGCCGTTGCCCGGTGAATATATATCACCCGGGCGTTACGTCGCCGATAAGCGTCGGACTCGTCCGCGACTGGTCGCGCGACGACCAGCAATATTCCAATTACGGAATCACGGGCAATAAAACCGCCGGATTGAATTATCCAGACCCGGGATTTGTTTCCATTAAGAGGCGCGACCGAGGCGCGCGCTCGCGCGTCGCGTGGGATTCCGCTCGCGATCCCTTTTCGTCCTACCGTACGGGGACTTTCTATTCGCATCCCGCGCTGCCCGTAAACGCCGAAGGTTTCGTAACGTTGACAGCCGTTGCCGATCGAATTACCGCGAACGAAGATTTTCCTCGTTTTTCTTGAGAGGACAAGAAACGCGCTCGAGTGACCGTTTTACGCTTTGCCGCCGGTTGTTCGAGTCTTTCGAGAATACCAGCGAGCAACAGCTGAGAACTTGTTAATGGATTTTGTCCAGCCGTTTCGAATCTGGTTAGGCATTTTGATATTCTAAGCGTGACACTGTAAAGGATCTCTAACGATAGATTTGCTGTTGACCGTTATTGCTGACCGAATCGCTTCGGTAGCGGATGCTCGTCGTTTTGATAAATAAACAAGACTACGCTGACAGTTTCAGATTTTGCTTATCTATAGCTAAACCGTTCGCAACATTCTACAGTTTACGTAAGAATACCGAATTAGTTCGAGACAAACTATCTTAGGCTACTCCGAAACATCCCGTAGGGAATCATCGCCGACTGAAATTTCGTCGGCGATTCCAACCGTTTCATATTGTCAACCGCTGAAACCAACGGAGATCATCCAGCAGACCGCAACATTACGATAAAACCGTGACCAGAAAACATCGGAAATTCGTTTCGAACGAAAGCTAACCGAGTTTCGGCCTATCCCGGCACACAAGTTCAACTCGCTCGTGAGTGTAGATACGTAAGATCAAAGGAGCTGGCAAGGATTATCATCCACAGATCATCGAGGCCACCGAGAGAAAAGGCCTACCCGTAGACGGTGGGTTTGGAGGATGGGCGGAGGTGCGGGGTGCTCTCGACGACGGTGCGCACGGCCAATAAGCAAAGAAGAGAAAGAACAGAGGGATGACACTCACCCAGTGCATGCCGGTGGTAGGAGGGGCGCGCTCCTCATACACTCCCATCAGGGTGGCTGCTGTCACGGGGTAGCTCCCGCCGAGGGTGCGCGACGCCGAAGCTGCTTGGGGGGGAGTCCCGGGGGATCCGCTTGCCGATAACGCGGAGATGGCGTCCGCTGCGCAGGTTCACTTCCCCTGTCTCTCCTCTCCTCCTCCACCACGATCCTCGCGGTCACCCTTTATCGCTCCCAAGAAGAGCGTTCCCTGACCAAGGGGAAAAAGGAACCACCGACGATGGTCCCCCGGCAATGTTTCCGCACTGAATCGAAGAGGAACGTCACTAACTGAAAGAAACCCCGCAGGTCGCGCTGCCGCAACACCAGCCGGATGACTTAGGGTATATCACCTGTCTGCCCGACGCGGACGCGATTATCTGTCACAGGCACATAATCATCGAACGGATTCACCTCGGACTCCTGGGCCAATCCCCTCTACTCGCTACCTTTCTAAAAGTTATACAGTTACACGGCAAAGTCACGGTCCTCCGGGATTCGACAGTTACACCCCCGGGTTCACTTATCGTTAGCACAATTCACTGATGACCGGGTGTTCATCTGCGCGAGCCGGGCAGACCGTGGTCAGTCCGTGCCGCAGGATTCACCCGCGGAATTGCTGGTTCCATCTTCGGGAATTAACGCCCGGTTCGAGGGGTTGGGGGAGAAGGGAATTCGTTCACAATCACTGGAAGACTGCCGTAGACGAAGCAGCGAGCTGAGACACCCCGAGCTTTGGGTCCGCGCACCTGCACACGAATTTCGGTGGTACCACTGTGTCGGAGGGGGTTGTCCTTGGGCGCAATTCGAACGGGAAACGGAGATGGATCTCCACCCGTGCTCCACTGTAGGGACGACCGGCGTCACGTCAGGCCCGTTTTATGGCGCATGTGCCTCGTGGCCCGCGCGGAAACTCGAGACAAGACCCCGACCAAC